GGTGGCAGCGTGCAGCTGCAGCCACGTCAGCAGAGGCTGCGACTCTCCATCCGCCGCAGGAGGCAGAGCTCAGCACTCCACGTGCAACACAGTCCACAGTGTTTGCCCAGCCCCTCCAAGGTCTCTGCGAGGTCCAGTAGCCACGCACAGATGCCAGAAGAGCTGGCACCCAGCCCTCATTTGCTTTCCAAGTTATAGCAGTGGACATCTCCTTTTCCCTTCCCATCGTACCCAGGAAGCGGCTGTCCGTACTTATCCACGCACCAGCAGTAACCTCTCTTTCGGCCTTTGGATGGGCGACACTGAGACAGAATAGAAGATCCAGTTAGCACTATTTTTGTTTTCTCCGCTCTTAGTGTTACATAGCAGGGATTCCTGCTTATTTGATAGCTGCACTTCCATATCCTGGCCATATCTGACAGAATCAAACAGAATATTTATTACGACTACAAAGTATTGCAATAAAAGTTTACCTGCTCTGCCCGTCAACCCCTTTGGGTCTAATTACTCCATAATAAAACTGCTCTGAGAATTACCAGAAAACAGCCTCATGAACAACTCCCTATTATATTAGGCAGCACAGTTGCCCCCTTTGAATACCAGGACTACTTATATAACAGTATGGGCTGACGACTGGGACCCATCTTTGGAAAAGAAAGTTAACAGATTTGTTCTACGCTAAAGCACAGGTCTGGCAAAGACAGCCATTGCTGCAATAAACACCCTTGGCTTGCATCTGTTTGTGGGAGGAATTTCAATACTGTAGTTGACATTTATTAACGGATACGTAATCCTCCTGTAATGGAGTTATCACTTCAACAACTGCTAGGTGTAGTAGAACTTTACATGTATATTTTCCTATAAATAAGGTTGCTTATATGCTAGTCTATAACCTATGTCAGCTTTAGAAGTTGCCTGGTGGAATTTGTCAGCAATGCTGACCAACCTGAAATTATCACTAGATAGGCAACGACACTGAACTTCTTCAGAAATAGTAATGCAGTAAAAATGCATTATAAAGTCTAGTACGTACTAGGTAAGTAAGTCTCTCCCCAAGGAACCAAGAATGGTAAAAACTAGACTAAAGGAGATGACTGCTGCAGGTTGCATTCAGTATGCAACCCTGGACACAGTTACATATTGTAAACCTCCAGGACCCTGCAAGGTTTTCACCCACTGTAAAGACGTGTCTCCAGGACAGAGATTATCTCACTAGGTTTGCCATGGTCAACCTCATTGCCAAGACACAGCCTCCATATGTCAGCTCAAGTTTTGCGATTTGGAGATACAGGATTCACTGCAAATACTAACAGAGGTGGCTGTTTAGTCACGACAGACTTACAAAGGAGGCGGTGACACAAATATACCTAGCTTTTCAAAGACTGAGGTTTCATCTGTTGCATCGCCAACATGAAGGAAGATAGGCTAGACTGAAGCCACTTACGGGCCTCAACACTGTCAAGGCTATCTTGCAAGCAGAGCAAATGCTGCCTCTGAGATCACACTCACAGCAATTCAAGTATTTCAGAGGTTCAGGCTGGTACAAGTCAGGTAAACTTTGCCACTACCGCTCAACTGCTTGTTCTCCAGAGTCTAATAGGCGTGTCCCCATCTCCCATGTGGGTATGGCAGTGGCTCACAAAGCTAAGTGTCTTTTCCATGTGCAGGTACGCAAAGAAACATCAAGCAATTGTTGGGCTCCACATGCTGCCCAAAGTGCCTGACCCTTTCCACGTCTAGTTTAGGACCTCAGGTGAAAGGGTGGTATTTCGGACAGAACTGTGAATATGGGTCACTCCTGGGACAGCCTGCACCAGCATACTGGCCCCTGAGCCAACTAATTTGTGGCAGCATGGAGTAGACTAGACAGTCTTCACTAGGAATTCATGAAAGAGAGACGGGAGCAGATCACAGTCACACATTAGACACAAATTTCTGAACAAGCTTACATCTTGTTTATTTTATTTTAGAGTAAATGAAGTAATGTTCATCACCGTAACTGCAAATTAATCTACCCTTGTGATATATTTCTGAGTAACAAGCCCAATGCAGAAATAATACAATGCATTCTCTTCTCTGAATTTGCAGTCTTTCTGCATTAGCCCTATGCAAACGGACAGCAGCAGGATAACAAGCTCAAGCTTAAAGTATGTATCAGCTTATTTTAGGAGAGGGTGAAGAAGTTCAAACCTACTGAGAAAACAGCTACATTAATAATTTGCTAAACTACGTGGTTAGCTTCATTTGAGTTCTAGTTACCTGTGTGGCTGGTTTTCTGTACTAGATCTAAATCTCAAAAGCCTGACTAGGGCTTGCATGTATTCTCCAGGATTTCCGTGAATGGCTGCTCAAAGTCCACTGACGTCAATGGGAAACTTTCCTTCAATTTTGGTGGCAACTGGACTGGAGTCTAGCTTAAGTGGTATTAACATTCAGTGACTTAAATTCTTCATGCTCAGAACTGAGGAATTCATAAACAACAGCTTTTGCACAATTTAAATTTTACAGAAAAGGAAACTGAGGCAGCAGTTCTTGAGTTGTTTTTCCCAAGAGACCAGGCACAGATGGAGCCCAAATTAGAGCACAGGGCTTCTGGCTGCCAGCCTGGTGCTCCGGCAATGAAACTACACTTCTGCTAATAATAGTAACACAGCCTCCCCTTTTAGAAGTACTATATGAAGTACGTTACACAACTCTCGCTGATTCATAGGCTTGCATCATTCTCAAAACAAATGATCAATTAAAGTTATCTCATGTTGTTGGAGGTTTTGATTGCTTTTTACAGTTGCATAATCAATTTTCGAAATTAACTACAATGTGAAGTTAGTCTGCAGGAACACCACCTTCCCTATTACTTACGTTTTTTATTTCTTCTAGACAACCCATTTGGAAAACGAAACCCTTAGATCACTCTACAGGTGAAATAATGCTCTGTGAGGAAACAATTTACCTTTTCCAATCTGCAATTTTGTACTAACCGCTCACCCATGCTGTCAATACTAAAGCACTTCTGATTCAAAAGTGATGCTGTTATCCTGAAGCAGCTAGCTTGCATTCCCTACAGAAGTGGTGGACAGTACATATGAAAAAAAAAAAAATCTGCTCTTCTCAATTTTGTACTCCACGTACATTTCAAGGCTCTGCCCAGCTCTTCTGTATGACTTCAGAAGTCCAAAAAGCTGGAAAACTGCCCAAGCAGTGGAGCCAGTAATTACTTCTGATAGAAACACCAGCTGCCAGCTTCCATGCCACCTGCCCCTCTCTCTTCCACAAAGAAGTGCCGCAGAGGCATTCGTGGGGCACAGCAAAGCATATGGTATCCCATTGAATTCCTGGTCAGCCCAGAGGTCTCCATGGAGCTACAACTGTGGTCTCCTGAAACAGACTGCAGACAGCACTTACAAACACCTCAGGCCGTTTTGGCTCCCGCCAAGCCCAGCTCTGTTTTCAGTGGAACGATGCCAGCTCACATTTAGGTGAGTATCTGGCTCTGGTATACAAATATGGGGCAATTCTAGTAATTGCCCCATATAATAATTCTAATTTCATCAAAACCTTTTTTTCCATGCTTGAGGCAGAAACATGCCTGTATCAACCTATTCCATGTAAATATACCTATATACCACAGTTGAATAGTACAACCTTACATGTGTGATTTATTAGGACAAAGAACTCCAAATTTTAATAGGTCTGATTTTAAAAAAGTTTATATATAAACAACAAGATGTGAAGTATTTTTCATGTTATACCCTGACAGATAAATTTATGTTCTTAAAATTGTTTCACATATGCAAATTACTCCCTATGGTTGTTCCTGAAAAGTCAATTTCTAGATATCCACAAATGTCTTGAAAAAATAACTGCTTTCAAATTTACTGGAAGAGCAGGTGACCAGGAAGGCAGAATATACTGGTATGTGAAGTGCCTCCTGAATGAGTTTTAATGGTTTCCAGGGTGATCATAATTTATCAGATCCTACCATCACACACCTATCTACATTATCATCCTAGGCAGCGGTTTTGGCAGCTGCTTCCAGAATTAAAAATGCTTAGCTCACACTCATTTTTTGATGGATTTACTGTCTATTTCCTAACCTATTATTCTGAATTTTGTTGTCACATCTGAATATAACTGAATTACAGATTGAATGCTTCTAATAATAGCAATGAAGGAAATTAATAAAATAGCCTAGCATTCTGTTAATGAGATTAGACACGTGCTCACCTGTGCCTAAAATATCAGACCTGCATGTTGATGCTCCAAAAAGAAAACCAAACACATTTGTCGCGTTGCCTTGTGGACAGTGAGTTCAGTCTGGACAGGACTCACCCACTTCTCGAACTGATCCTTTTTTCTAGGAGTTGATTCTACAACTCAAATACATATTTTTGGTTTGTATTTTGTTCCTGTGAGAAGCAGCCTGCCTCTGTAAGCCCCACCCGTGAAGGCCTGTTCCCAGGGTTGATTGAGGTTCATTTACAGAAGCACTCCAACTGCATTTCATGTAGAATATTTACTCACATGGGCTCCATTTGTGGGCATCTCCTACAAGATCCGAAGTTGTCTCAAACTACCATTGAAACTACTGGACCCGTGTAAATTGGCACGGTGCTTGACAAGGCTGGCCAGGTATGAAAGTGCCCCTTCATCTTCTATGTTTGCTGACCGCATGGAGTGTTGCACATAGTGCAGAAACCATTCCTAAAGCAGTCTGAAAGTCTCCAGGCAGCACGGACACTACACAGAGGGCAGAAGCGTGTCTTTGCTCTATACCAACACCTTATTCTCATAAATCAACTTCTAGGAACAAAGACTGGGTAAGTGTATTATCTGTCTTTCCTATTTTTTTCCTCCGTATTTCCTTTTTTTCCACCTCAGTGGCAGAACTATGACTGCACTTTAAAGTACAGTCATCCTTTAAAGTAAGGCACTTTAATACATGCTTACTGTGGATCTGATTTACTACATACACATGCCAGAGACTGCATGCAAACCACCACCTTTTTGCTGACGAAGCAAAAACCTCAGAGTCTGAAGACAGATGAAAGGAAGATCTACTGAACAAAGTAAATACCAATCTGTGGTCTTTTGTAATACCTAGAGATGGGAAAGGGCTACAGTATGCTTGTGTGCCTTGAATGCAGTTAAATGATGTGCTGTTCTAGAGTAGCTAAGCAAATGCTGTTATGGCACAGGCACAAAACACAGTCCTAGCCTCACTCCACATAGCAGTCCAACGTATCTTCTGAACAAACGCAGACCGAGATGTGAACATTGCTCTCGGCTAGTTTACACGCAGCGGGACATGAATAACACAAAAACTCCAGAACAAAAAGAAACTTTGTCCCTGCTTGGGAGTTGCCACTACCTGCTCAGGAAAAGCTGGGGAGCATAGACAAGCTCAACAGCATGCACCGAAGGTCAAACAGCACAGTCAATGCTGGGCTGATGGAAGAAGGGAAGGCTGGAAACCTCACCCCTATTGCAAACACCCCACCTGACACTGCCAGCTTAATGCAGAGCTCCAGGGAATACCCGAAACGGAAAGACTGTTTCTAAGAAAGCTGGAAGCCAAAAAATGGAGAGATATCATTCCTAAAATAAGGTTGCCTGGTAGGAGGTCAGCCTCTCACTTCCAACCAATAAACTGCATTAGCTAGTAACACAGTCAGCCGCTCCTTTGGTTACCAGAGATAGAGAGGCTGACTCGTGTAAACCCAAATGGGAGAGACAAGATGGCCCACAAACAAAATCTGTCCTTACAGAGAGTTTGCCTTGAGGAAAATCTTAAAGAAACTTTTGAATTCAGGAAATTTTGGAATTATACCAAGAAACACATTTGGAGGCAGGTCACTAAGTAAACACTGGAATTAGATGGGATGTGCACACTAAGCAAAGAACCTAGCACATCTTGCGCTTCCCCAAGTTCCCGAATGAGCTTCAAGGGCAGCACTGAATGGAGAATGCTGCCGTAGCTCAACCCGACACAACTAAAGCATAAATACATGCAGTTTGGGTCTGCATTTGTCAAGAAAGGTCACAACCCCAGAACCAAAGAAGACTGAGAAGCCATCCTTGCTGCAGAGTAACTACTATATGTATCACTTTCACGATAACATGACCTGGATTTTGGAAGTGATCCGTGTAGCACATAAAGGACAGATACATGCCTTTCTCCGGTTGCTTTTTGTAATATGATCCAGTGCAGTTCTTCTAGGAACTCTCAAGCAGCTATTTACAATTCAAAGCATTGATCTATTGCAGTCATATGGTGACTGCAACATTTAACTCTGTGGGTTATTACAGAGGCACTGCTTTTTTTAAACCAAAGGGCATTAGTATCTAGGACACCAGCCAACCCATGTGTGTTTAGGTATGAAGTTTCTCAAATGAATCTGTTGTCATGACCAACAGAAAATAAAAACACTGTCCCCACTTTACAAGGTTCGGCACTATCAGATCAGGTCCTAAAACTGGAAATGAACTAGTTCCTCTGTAAAACGATACATAACGCACCTTGCTGGCAAGATCCTTCAGCAAAGATGCAGAAAAGGTGAAGTGAATTCATTGAAATGATCAAGACTCTGTACTTACTTGCTTTTTCTTGTAGAACCCCTTCTTGTCACAATTTGGAATATGAAAACCCCTGGGACTCAAGACATTCAGGATCTTTAGGTGGTTTAAAGTGTCTTCCATTTCTCTACGACAGGGACCCTGTTAACAAGCATGTTTTAGAAAACGCAGATGAAACTTCATTCCCAAATGCTGTCTCTCACACAAGAGTTAATAAATCTTTAAAGGGCAAGAAGCACAAACCCAAACAAATCCCCATTAAAACAAAGGGATGGCTGGATAAGTCAAAAGGCAGACCATTCACAGATAAAATTCTGGCTTTCTGCTTCATTCAGGATAAACCAATTTCTAAACACTGAAGGCCCTATGCTATGCTGAGGCACAGACTGGCATTTCCAGTTGAAATCACAGCCACACATACCTACGGGAAGGCTTAACCAGTATGTAAATCAATCATATATAACATCGCTTAAGTTTGGAAAAGCTGGCCTTGCACCAAGTGGGCAAAGAAGGCAGCAACTGGAAATACACCACTTGGTAGATTTTCCATAATGCCATTTGATTTTTGTGATTCTGCTGGATTTGAAGGCTTAAATGAAATGGATTTAATTGAAAACAAGTAGTTTGGCATAATGCATATATAAAAATACTGCAACTTTGGACAACAACTCCCAATTTCAACTGGACCAAATGGATGCAGCTGTGCAAAGGAATGGTTGCACACAACATTCTCATTAGGTAAGTATGTCACTTTTTGCTGCACCTTCTCCATTTGCAAAAGGCTGACAATAATGTAGTGAGGATTAGCTCTAGGACAATGAGCCAAAAAGAACTTCCAGAAGCACTGTTAAGAGCATGTCTCAAACGCAAACTAATTAATTATTCCTCACTGCAGCCCTTCAGGGCAGGGAGTAAAGCGTTATGAGCCCCACTTTGCAGTCAGAAAACCAGGAGCGGAGGAGTTCACATTCTGCCAGGGGCCAAGAAGGCAGTCAGTGTCAGCAGTGGGATTGGGATTCTAGAGTCGCAGCCTACAAACTCTGTGCTTAGCTACACTCCTGTCTGGGCACATTACTGACTCGGTCCACCAGCCCACTTTTTCAGCAGAGACCTGAAAAAACTCCTTTGCATGGTTGCATGGGTTTAAAATGTTTAAGTTGCTGTTATCAACACAAAGACTCATTTGGTGCAATTTTTAATTAGTGAAGTAATGACATTTATACTTTCAAGTGGTAATATTAATAGTTTGCTCATGTAAAGTGCCTTTCACGTGAGTGTCTGAAAGCATACAGACTCCACAGTTCTACTGGAGTTTAAAATTGATTTTTTTGGTTAGCAAAGACCTTCCTTGCTGCTTTCATATGTTTTCTTTCAGCATCAATCTCACAAGCTCTAAACATGCGCTTTGAATTGCTGCTCTTATTGGCAGTTCTTTAAAAAAAAGAAACTGCTCAGACACGCTGACTGCAAATCACACGTGTTCAAAGATTTGGTCCCGAGTTAGGCCTACAAAAAGATCAACAGCTTTTTTTTAATTATTATTTTGAAGCAGGCTTCCGAAGTCAGAGAGATCAGTATCAAAAGCTAACATGCAGACACAGCTAGAAGGGCATTTGCTGACAAAGGCACCTGTCCCCGATGGACTTATTTCTGGTTCTTACAGACACCAGCAGCCTTGGTAAGTCAGTGCGCCTTTGCTCATGGGGCCCAACTACCACATAAGTGAAATGTTCATCCTAGTTAAGACCAGGACCCTATTTCCTCAGAGCTACCAAAGTTCACTCTTTTACTGTAGGCAGTTTACTTCATGTTTTTGGGAGGAGGACATGCTGGAAGGCAGATACTGAAGTGTTTTTACTAGACAGCTGGACATCAGTGACAAATTAAACATGCAGCTTCACCACCCTTGGTGTGTTAACTTGGAGGCCCCGCTCTCTTCAGACACAACTTTCCACCTCACACAGGCTTCAAAACCTTCTTTTGCAGACGGGAAGCCGCGTCTGGTTTCACCACAACTGTTTTGATGAAACGCTGAAGTATATCCAGACATATTTTTTAGGTCATCTGGCACAGGCACAAGGATAAGCACTGGGTTATCAGCCAGGATGTCCAGGAAGAGGAATTATTCTCCCCTCAGGTTCACCACACTCCGGCTGCTCTGCAAATCCACTGTACAAAGCAATGGCGGCTCATCTGCCCGTAAGCCTTTACATTTAGGCAGTAGCGCCAAACGACGACTGCAAGTAGAGGCAGTGTTCAGCACGTCATACAAAAAATGACTGATCAGTCAAGATCCTAATCCTCAACCCAGCCTAAGTTTATCTCCCTTGATTTGCGCCATGGAGTGTGAACACGGTGCCACTACACTACATGTGAAACATCTTTTTTCCGTTCTTGCAACCCAATAATGCTGTTTGCAACCAAATTTAATGATGACACTACTAAACCTGCCCCAAGTCCACTCACACAAATGTGTGTTAATTACAGGGGGGAACAACAACTTTCGATCTCTAAGAAATGACGTCATGAAAACCATACTTGTATCAATGTAAACATCATAGCATTAGGCCTCCATGTTTTCTGAACGTGATCTGCTCAGTCTGCTGATTGTCTGCACTTGCAGATCTAATAGTTTTACCGGTTAAACAGCCAGAATGCCCTAAATGACTACAACAATTACCACCATTTAGTTATTTTGTTTATTTATTTATCTTGCCGTACGCACAACGTGCGTATACATACACACACACACGCACACTCACATGCTGGGAAATGCCTTTCCGTTTACAAAAGTACTTACGTATTCAGTCTCTTGTTTGGATTCAGAAGAGAAATTCAGTGTATCCGTACTCTGTGAATCATATTCCACTTTATAGCGCTGCGTATTTTTGGCTTGCACTTTCCTGATGATATCTATTTTGATGTGCGGTGGATGCGATTTGGAATCTGGCACCCTGTGAGAGTTTGGGATGGCCTGATTTTCTATGCTGCTGGTACTCCGGTCTTCTTCTTCTGAATCACTGGAATTTCCTTCGAGAAGAAGAAATGCAGTGAAGAAACAATGTTAATCAACT